ATAAAAACAAACTGAAGGATTTTAATGGTTTCAAGCAAAAGGCAAGCTGGGCCCATTGCACTTTGGATATCATGCATTACTGAAACAATTCAGTAATGAAATTTTATTTCATTTTCTCTCTAAAGTGTCCAGCTGGCAGCATGACCTTCCTAGACCTTTAAAAATGGTCTGTGTGTGAAGAGGAAAAAATAATTTTGTCCAAGATTTTTTTCTGACTGTGGAGTCATTGGGGGTTATTGGAAGAGTGCCCCATTTCCCATGCTAGATGTTGCTGTTCTTCTCTTTCTGGAGAAGAACATGGTGGTGGCAATGCTTGCACCTAAGGCTGGAAGCAGGGCAGAGAATGAGAGGTTAAGTGCAGCTTGGAGGCTCCAGATGGTCTCTTAGGCGAGACCAATGCTGGCTTCTTGAGTCATGGCTCTGCTGGAAATTTGGGTTCAAGGTTCTGGGTAGTCTTCTCCAGCATCCATGGTTCTCTGCAGAGTCAACTTATTGCATACTTGAACACAGAATCATATAATCATTAGAGTTGGAAAAGGCCTCCAAGTTGGAAAAGGCCTCCTGTGTCTCTGATTCCCAGGTTCTAAGCATCTAAGCAATCTGAGCAAACCCATAGTAAATCATTAGTAAAACATTACTGGAGCCACATATTGTTTTTTCAACCAAAGGGTTGTTTAGTATTGGAACAGTCTCCAGGAAAGTGGTCACAGCACCAAGCTTGAGAGAGTTCAAGAAGTGTTTGGACAATGCTCTCAGCACATGTGTGACTCTTGGGGATGGTCCTGTGCAAGGCCAAGAGTTGGACTCGATGATTCTGACGGGTGCCTTCCAACTCCACATATTCTGTGATTCTATGTTCTCTTGCCCCTGCTCATTGCAGGGTGTTGGACTAGATGACCTTTAAAGGTACCTTCCAACGGAATTATTCTGTGATTCTATGAATTCAGATGCCTTTAAATAAGCTAAATATGCCAGGAGTTCTAAGATGGATATTGATGACAAACAACAGTCTTATATGCCATATGTATGCATGCTCTTTAGGAAGGCAAGTTCCTATTAAATCCTCCTGAAACCGTCTGAAGGATTACTAGTATTAAGTAATGGTACAGCCAAGTTTGGAAAAATGTCTTCTAATTCTGTTAGGTTTTGTTTGTTTGTTTGTTTTTTGTTTGTTTTTTGGTTGGTTGGTTGGTTGGTTTTTTTGGGGTGTGTGTGTGTGTGTGTGGGGTTTGTTTTGGTTTTTTTTTAATGTTGCCTTTATTTTCAATTATTAATGATGTATTTGATTTGAGGGTTTTACTTTTATTTTCTTACTCGTGTTTTCCTTATTTTCCTGTATTTTTCATTGGTTAGGTGCCAGTGAAATGAGGAGTGTGTTGCTGATACGAAGTATATCAGAGAGAGTTAGCTTCAAAGCTGTTCAAAGGGAAACAACTTGGGTAATTTCTATTTCATTATGAAATTTGTTGAATTGTATTTTCAGCCCAGAAGAGACTGGAAAAAAAAAAGAAAGAAACCCAAAATTGTGAGAAATTTTTGCTAGAGAAAACTGACTTGTCAGCTACTCCACCCTCTGCTGAGGGTTCCATTCAGTTCTGAAGGGCAAACATCTTCTATTAATGTCCTCAGTCGAAGATTTCCTTGAAGGCTTCCCATGCTTCCTTTAGCTCTTGAGAGCTGCTAAGAAGATAGTTCTGTAGATACTGTTGAACTGGAAATTCACATCTTGCAAACATTTTTTAAAAGTCCCTTTTCTCACTCCCAGAACCCTTGCAAATATTTTAGGAGCAAGAAGACATTTGGCCAAGCAGACGCAAACACATGGCTGCATGGAGACTGTGACCCCTCAGGTAGCAGCTCATTCACTCCAGGGTTGTATGAACTGTGGTTTAAATGAAAAAAATAACATCTTGCTTCCTGAGGTCTGCTGAGGCACTGATATGTCCTCTCTCCTCCTTGGAATGAGAGTGCAAGCCAGACAAAGGTGAGAAAATACAGTCCCTCCCTGTGCTGCTCTTCTGCAGAGGAAAAGAATAATTGTTGCCTAAATTCAGTTTATTCTGCATTCTGTCCGTCAGTCCCAGGCTTTACTCTGTACCAACCAACTGTAAAACCCTAAAGAGCACAGAAATAAGTTATTTTTGGCTTTTGAATTGCATAATCTTTCAGGTGAGGTGTTTAGTAGATGACAGTGCATTAAGGGAGATGCCTGTGCAGCTCATCCCACTATGGAGCTGAACGTGCTGGGGAGGAGCGGTGTTAATGAGCTGTAGCACATAGGAAGCGAGCAGGGTGAGTGATAAGGCCTGGATCTGGGGTCTGACAATTCCCTCAGGTCCTTGAAAGATCCAGAGTTTCTGCCTGAGCTGTTAAAGGGTCTACTGCAGAAGACAGACTGTACGATTATTAGAACCATCTGTTTTTTGCTCTTGCCACAGCAAATTCAATATTAAGGACTCACAGGGGTTCCAGCTGGGTCCAAAACACCCTATTTGCTGATGTATACCACATGCAGTAGCAGTATCTAACTGGCTTCCTCTGACAGCCTGTTGGTGGCTTTGGGGACTGTAATGTGCTCTGCCAGTGTGTGACAGGCTACTGAACAGGGCCAGTAGGCTGCACAAGCCCTGGAGAAGTTATGGGTTGTGTGACCCTGTCCAAGTTCACTGAATTCTTTGGATAATGTAATTCATGACTGGAGCTCTTCTTGCTTATTCCCATCAAAAGAGACAACCCTTGGTACATGGCTAGCTCATGGCCGAAGAAACAAGGCACCGCCTGGGAAATCCATTTCCATGTTTGACCATCAGGGCTAGAAAGATGGGAAAGGGCCATATCTCTGCTTCCCAGTCTACCATGTCAGGCTAGTAATAGAATAATGGAATAGTTTGGGTTGGAAGGGACCTTTAAAGGACTACTAGTCCAACCCCCCTGCAATGAACAGGGGCATCTTCAGCTAGATCAGGTTGCTCAGAGCCCTGTCCAACCTGGCCTTGAATGTTTCCAGTGATGGGCCATCTACCACCTCTCTGGGCAACCTGTGCCTGTGTTTCACCACTCTCAATGTAAAAAACATCTTCCTTACATCTAATCTAAACTGACCCTCTTTCAATTTAAAACTGTTACCCCTTGTTCTGTCACAACAGCCCTGATAAATAATTGTCACCACCTTTCTTGTAGGTGACCCTTGTAGGTACCCTTTAGGTACGGGATGGCTGCTATAAGGAGACCCCAGACTCTTTTCTTCTCCAGGCTGAACAACTCCAACTCTCTCAGCCTTTAATCATGGATGACTGTGGTATGCCTCCTTTATTTAAAAAAAAAAAAAAAAGAAAAAAGAGGAAATTCACCCAAGATGTCTAATTTTTTGGCTGCAGGAGGCAGCACAGCTGTTAGCATGGCTTTGACCATACGCCAGTGTGGTTCACTGCCAACCTCAGGTGGTCTCTGCTGGTCTCCCACCTGAGAGCTTTTTCTCATTTTGTGTTTGCCTGCCTGTCATATCAGCACTTTCTTTCTCTGTTGACACCATTACCATCCTGCTGCAGTGGTTCCCTGCTAGAGACATCCAAATAGGAAATCCTCTCCTCTGCTGCTCGTGGAAATGTCCTGTGTAATAGATGGCTCTGACCAACCTGCATAATAGCAGCCACTTGAGAGAAAACCCTGCTCCCAGATGCATGTGTGGATTATCTGCTGTCCAGGGGGAATAAAAAGCTGTTTTTCTGTGCTGTGTGTCATGACAACACCCTCCAGAAGCCATTCTGGACACTCAGAGATACAAAGCATGGAAATCACCACCGCAGTGAAATGATGCCAAGCAGATTAGGAAAATACTAGAAAATATTAAAATCCAGTGCTTAGAAGCAGGCACTGAGTCCCATATGCAGGCATTTAAATGAGTGTGATTTCACAGTCAAAGGTATTGAACATCCAAAGTGGCCATGAAAGAGGAGGATATAAACCTGATTTACAGATTCAAACAGAGCTGAATACCTACTTGATCGTGCTCTTATCAGCTAAATCAGAACTTCTATTGCAAAAGAATTATTGTCCTTCTACTTAATGCATGTTAATCAACACAGCAAATTACTCCATTCCCCCAGGTCTTATTAAGAGCTAAAAGCAATTTTCAGCAAGTTACCAGACTGGGAAGGCTGTGGCTCTGACAGAATATATAAGAAACTGTTCCCCAGCTTATATAGAGTAACAACCATGATTTTAATTGTTAGTTTGTGTAGTTCTGTAGTTTAATAATAAACATATTCCCCTGTTTGGTGATCCAAGCTTGGCACTGAGAAGTGGGTAAGATTAAAAATGAGTCAATTCCAGTTAGATGTGAGCTTCTTCCAGCCTGCCTTGGGCTTTCCACTAACTTAGTGATTTAAGAAAGCCACTCATTCATGGTAGGGTTTAGATACAGCAAGAATGACTAGCTATGTTTCTAAAGCAATGCATTAAAACAGGTATCTTTAGGGACAGCTAATGGCTATGTCAGCTCTCATTTTCCTGGAGAACAGAATTGTCCCACACCACCTTTTTTCTGCCCAGCTGCTTTGAATTAAAGGCATCTCTTCAAGGGCCCATTTTTCTCTCCCTCATACCAGTGTAAATCAAAAGCTAACAGTGTTAATGTCACTGGTGTAAAATTGGAGGAAATGAGAGAAGAATTAGCCTGGGAAAAATCTAATTTGCTTTCCAAGTAACAATCTAGATTAAAAATATTCACCTATCTAAACAAATGGGAAGCCAGCACATCACACTGTCTGTCTGTGAATGGCAAAAATTGGATTTTTTCCTGAACTCCCAGTCTTCTCATAAAGCAAGCAAAAATAGACAAGACACTTCACCAGTTTTGTGCTAAGAAAACACCACAAGAAAGCTGCACAATACCTATGGATTTCAGTTCAAGGCATCTGGTATAACCCAGGCTTTGGTGTTAACTGAAACCTTGGACCTGCAGGGTTAATGTGTGTTTATACAAGCACTACAAGCTGTCATTTTAGTTCTCTTCCATCCATATTTGCCATGGCCCACATGTACAATAGAGCTCTTTTCAGAGATGACATCATGCAGTGTTTTGCAAAAAAAAAATGGGGTGAAAGTTTTCTTTTCATCCTGCCAGTGGGAAATGTGTCTTGTGTGCTTCAGCAAATTACTGCCTGGAGGCAGAACAAGCTCTTTATAATACTTTGGTGCTAAAACAGGTACCCAGTCATCTATCCAGCAGGGTCTCACATAGCTGTGTTCTCTGGAGAGAGCTGGATGCCTTTGAACTTGCTTTCCCGTCAGTGCTGCTGCATGGAGTTATGCTCTGAGATGCCATTTGTCTCTCAGGAGCTCTGCTACAGCTGCAGTGCACATTTTATGGGTTCTGCAGAAAGAAATAGTCCCTCAGAAAATATAGTAGCTACATTCAGTTGTGTATTTTGCTAGCCTGTCTATTCTTCTGACATCCACTGACAAATGTGAATGCTCTGGTTTTGACAGGGCATGCTTGGTGCATCTTTCTCCTTATAAGGAGCTTGACTGCAATAAGTCACATTTTCAAACTGAGTTTGGGTAAGCTGGAGAGGGGAGGATGACCAGCACAAGGAGTTTAATGCCTTCCATGAGGTTAAGTGCAGGGGGTACTCAGAGTGGAATACACATATCTAATGTCACATCTTGGTGGGACAAAACAGTGCAGCTAAGCTATTCATCCTAGTGCCTGAAAACACACTGGGAAAATGAGGTTGGACCCAGACACTTCCAAACCCTGAGTCACACCAACTCTTTAGGACTTGTCTACTTCAGAAAAAGGTGAATTGCCTGCAAAGCAGTTGTTCAGGCATCTTCCTTGGGCACAGCAGCTGGGCTGGGGTGCTCTTGATCCAGCCTGGCCTCACACTGCATATGGTGGATATGGTCAGAGGGAATGGGATGGCATTTGCCAGAGTAATGTTAACCCATGTGAGTATATTTTGGAGTTCACATCACCATGGAAAAAACCCACTCAACCTGTTGTTTCTGAGGAGTTTGTGTAAATAAATATCTAACTTGGAGGAAAAAGAGACTGAATGAAGTGAAAATGGTCTTTGAATTATCCAAGGACAGAGTTGTTTTAGTGGTCATGATCTAAGTATGTGACCAGGACAGAGTTTGTGGACAGAGATCTTAACTCTCCCCACAAGATTTGTCTCACTCAAAAATCGCAGCATTTAACATTCTTGTCAGCAAAGCAGCCCTGGTCTCTCATTACTGGGTCACTATGTGGGAAGGAAAATGCTTTCATCTTGCTGTGGCTCAACTTGATTTTCCAAGTTTCCAGTTGATTACTGAAGTGACTGATTGTGCAGGTTTAGTGATTTCTACCAGCCATCCCTTACACAGTACCATGTAACTGAAAATTGACTTGCCACTGAGGATAGTTACTGGATAACTTGAATTTCTCTTTATCCCACTGTGTCCCACAGCAGAATGTATTCCTAGGAGATGGAGAACTGACTGTCAGTTTGTTTACTTTTAAACTGCCCTTTCTTAAAGCAGCCTAGGTTGAGGAGAACAGGTTGTTTAGTTCTCGTTCTTAATATGGCCTTCTTAAGAGCTCTGAAAGCTTGTCAGTATTTTCTGATATTTACTCATAAATGGGTTGGTACTCTCAGACACTCTCCAACACTTCACACAAAATGAATTCATGGAGTTATACAATGGTTTGGGTTGGAAGGGACCTTAAAGATCATATAGTTGCAGTCAAAGTTCTTAAAGGATTCCCTGTGTAAGGTGTTTTTCCAAATCCTTCAATCCATGGCCCGTTTCTGTGCTTACTGCCATTGCTTTTTCAACATGGTTTTAAAACCAATATGTGTCAGGACCCTTTGCAGAGCTCTATCAGCTGTCTCTGGATATCTATTTAATACTTGCCCATCAAATGAAGATGTGTCAACTCTCTTGCTCAGAACTCTCTAGAGTTTTATAAGACCATCTAGTTAAATATCACAAGACTTCTATGAAACGAATTCATGTTAAAGCTTTGTTTTCATGTGGTTAAAATAAAATATAGGTAAGTGACCTGCCCAAGGCAGAGACCAGACCTGTGCCTAGTGGTCCCCTCCTTTATGGATTAGAAAACAGGGTTGCCCACATGCCTTTTTACCTTGAACTCCAGCCAAGTGACTTATATTCATCCCAGAAACGATCAATTTTATTGCTTTCCCATGTAAATAAAAGCTGCATATCGCCACTGGGTGACAAGCAATTTCCTCCTACTCCCCCTCTTATAATAAAGGAGAAAAGTTGCAGATGACATTGCTGCAGAATGACATAGAAAATAGCAATTTGTGCATTTCCCAGGGGGGAAAAAAAAGGACCAGGGAAAAACGTGCCTCCGTATTAAAACTGCAGCTGCAATTTGTCAGTGCAAAGCTACAGTTACAGAATCTTTTTTGGAAAGATACATTTATTTTTATTGTCTCATGACACCTATAGAAGGAAGGGAGAGGAATAAATGTGATGGCAAAGTGCACCTCTTAGTGGGAACCGTTGCAACTGCCACCCCAGGCCTGCCTGGCAGCCCTGGACAGATTTCTCATGCTCTCTTCCCACAGCTCTGGTCCCTCCCTCCTACTCACTGTAATGCCCAGACCCAAAACCCTGCAGATGTCAAACCTGATTCTCTGTCATCTTCTCCTCCGGATGTAATAATGTGTCAAAGCAGAACAAGTCTGCACAGGGATAAACGTGCGGATTCAAATGTTGAGCCTGTGGGTCTCATTGGAGTTACTCTTTAGGCCAGCAAAGAAAACCTCAACCACTGAAACTGGACTCTGGGCCACACTTGAGCCATATCCAGGTCATTCTCAAAATGAATCTTTTCATTACTATAATGAACCTACTACTCCTGTGGGTTGTGAATACAATGTCCTTACAGGTTTACCACAACAAAACAATGCTATCCTTTTCTGTCTGTTTTTTGCCTATGTTGTGCCTGGTACTTAATGCAAAAAAAGTGCTGTTTAGTTGCTTTGGAAGTTTTGAATGTTATTCATCTCACCTGTTCCAGTCTGTGGAGGGAAATGGGGCTTTGCTTGTGGTGCCAGTGCTGCTCTATTTCAGATATGTACTTTAGGAGGAACCATCCTTCTTTCATTCCTTTCACTGTACGTCTTTGATTAGTTCAGACAGCATTACCTACAGATAACTCCTGCTCCCTGCGTCTCAAAGGTCTGTTTAATGCTCTTGTATGATTTGTTTTATATTCCACTGAAAGGGGTCACTCTGGGCAATAAAGAAAGGATGGTGAAAAAGTGAAATACAACAAAAAAAGAAGGAACGTTATCAAAGACATTACAACAAAGAAGGGCATTCTTCTATCCCAGACTGCAATCACTAAATAAAAAAAAAAAAAGAAGAATGCTATGTTTCCTCTTCCCATATTGTCTCTTGACTATAAGGCAGCACAGCCCCTGCCAGAGTAGCCACTGAGGTCTACCTGCAGAATCCCTCTCCACCAAAACCTCGACCTTAGGAAGTTGCATTAATCCAGAGAAAGCCCACGGCACCATCTAGAGGGAAGAAGGAAATACTGAAGCTTCTGGATTGTAATGTTTCCTCTCCTCCTGTGAGGAGTACTGTCACCTGAAGGATCAGATGGACATGGAGATAAGCTGGAGGGAAATCAGAGGAGAGGCTTTTTTAGGTGTAAGAGGAGGAGAGGAAACTGTGAGAAGAATAAAAGAGATCCAATTACTTTCTCTGGGGCTGCCTGCGATCAATAGTGCAGTGGTTCAAGGATTAGATTTAAAACAATCTGTCTGGAGATGATGGAAATGTCACAGGCAAGAAAGTATTCATGAAAGTCATCCTTTAAAGATGTGTCAACTTCTTGAAAAAGTCTGGACAGCCACTCTGTTTTTTTCCAGCTCTTTCACCTACAAAAACTTACTGAAAGAATGATGGTTTCCTCCAGCAGTCCTTCCCACCTCCCCTTTGGTGATATCCATATCCTATTTTGGTCCTTTCCCTGCCTTATAAGTTCTCCAGGGTAAAAAACATATTTTAACCTTTCTAAGAATCTCTGTTATAATCAAATACCCTGGAGAAAACCCAGAATTAGATGTTGGGAATTCTAGAGTAGAAAATCATTAACATTATCAAGTTCAGATGGTATCTTCTGTTTGTGTCTAGTTTCCGAATGAGTGATGTCATCTGCATTTGGCTGCTTCCCAGAGCTTGTACATCTCAGGATAAAGGTCATTACTGAGTTATCCTACATGATGGGACATTGGTCATCCTCTTACCTCTACGCTACTGGGCCAATGCACTTAAAGCTGCTGCGGGGTGCTATGCATCCCTGTGTAGGTTCTGTCTGCAGCCCTTTCCCCATGGCAGCGCCGCTGCTCTGCCATGCCCTTTTGGGAAGGACCCAGTGTAGGCACCAGTTACCCAGGAGGAGCACAGGTCAGGGAGGGTGGAGATGTGCATGGGTAAGCTCAGGACATTTCGTCCTCATCCACAATCAAAGTAAACCTCACCTGACAAGATTCCCCTTTGCCAGGAGCTTCTCTGCAGTATCGGTGAAGCTGGAATCTCCCATCTCCGTGATGCCCATGAGATGTCACAAAGGGTTGGTGCAGAGGGCAGAGCACTGTGCTCCTGCCTGGATCCATCCTGTGCATCAGCTCATCTTCAGGCGGATGCAGTGGAGCTGAAAAAGCCAACAGGTCCTGCCTGTGAATAGATCTGGGTCCCTACTGCTGGCCAGGCTCATGGGAGGGTGAGGAGGCTGCGAATGCTCAGAGAGGGTGGTGGCAGTCCTGGGGGTCTTCCCTTCATCACAGAAGTCCAAGTCACATCTTCATGGTGGCACTCCAACTCAGCCTCAGTGTGGCTTTTTGCTGCTGCTGGCCTTCAAAAGCTCTGACTGAGTGGAGCAATACTACAGACACACAAAAAAACCTTGAGACATAGAATCACAAAGGTTGGAAAAGTCCTCCAAGATCAAGTCCAACCTTTGAATAAATACCACTGTGCCCAGTAAACCATATCACAAACTGATCTACCGGTTTCTTGAACACTTCCAGGGAAGGTGACTCCATGACTTCCCTGGTGAGCCTGTTCCAGTGCCTTACCACTCTTCCAGTGAAGAAATTATTCCTAATATCCAACATGAACATCCCTTGGCACAACTTGGGGCCATTACCCCTTGTCCTATCAGACATATTCCAAGATCTTAAAGGGAGTAGGGAAATTGGTGGGATCTGAAGGATTCTCCCTCACTGTAAATTTATATTTGGTTACATCTCTCATCATCATCATCATCATCATGGCTGGGCTTCGCGAATGAAGATTTGGGAAGGCTCTAACCACATTTGTTACAGGCACGTTGGTGACTTATGAGGCCAATATGAGATAGACATATCCGATTGCAAAAGGCACAGTAGAAAGACTCTTTAGATGGTATATTCTGCAGAACACGATATTTGGTTACATCTCTATCGTGGTGACAAACGAGACTGATGTGGTGAGGCTGCATCACCACACGGTGGCACACGCTCCCTTCGGCAGATGTTAGTGACTGTGTGTTGCAGCACAGGCACTGGATCTGCCGCTCCAGCAGCCCCGAGCATTTGTTTGTCTCTTGAAAAGCAAGGATGAACTTTACAAAGACATAGGGAACTGCAATTCCAAACAGAACAGTTTACACAGGACTTCAGAAGTTTACAGAGACTCCACTTCTGGCTGGAAGAAAATACTGAAGAGCACAGAAATATTGCTGAGCTGAAATGTTCTGCTGTACATGTACAGTCAGATCTTTCCAGTACCTGCTTATCAATTATATGTTCAACACTAGGAGAATTATGAATAGGGTCATTGCAATCCTACATTCCTTTGTTTTGGTTTCACTCCCCCTAATCTCGGCTGATGCAGGTGAAAGTCTCTTGAATGTGTATTATATAGTGCTTTGCACAAAGTGGTTTTGGCTGGTTTGGTCCCACTGCCAATGTACATGTCAAATGAGAAGACAGAGTGGATGCAGCACAAACTGCTAAGGATGATGTAAAAGTTTTAATGCTGGAACTAGTGCTGATCTTTGGCATCTGTCTGCCGTGTGGGAAGATGATTTAGGGATAATCCTGTCTACCATTTTATTTTGAGATGCTGCAAAAAACCTTCACTCCATGTGCTCAGGATGAAACCTGGCATTTTTTAAATGGGAAAGTGCAGTTTCATCAATATAAAAACTTTCCATAGGAACATGTCGATTCAATTACGTTATACTCAGAAAAGGCATACCAAAGCCAATGTTCTCAATTCCAGCTATTATTGGCAATGTGCTTGGAATGGAACCCTGTGATTTTTTCTATTCCCAAATGATTGGTTTCTAAATCACTTTCATTTAATGGTTAAGTTATGCATTTTGACAATAGCCTCTATTTACCTTTCTCGGTAGGCTGGAATGAAAAAAAAAAAGTGATTTTCAAGAGTTTGATTCCCAAGTAAAAAAGAAGGGAAAGGATTTTTTTTTTTTTCTTTTGCAAGAGAGAAAAATCTGTGATTTTAAAGGCAGTTTTCATTCTGAAACTGAAACTGTAATGAAAAGTGTTTGATGAAGATTGGATGTGTATTACAGGGCTTGAGGGAGTAAATCACTCTGCTGTGCTGAACTCAAAAACAGCAGAATGAAATACAGCAGGTTTCAGGACTGTGACCATTCACTGCTTCTTACTGCAAGCACAGGCAGCCTCAGCAGATCTGGAAAGTTGGAAGGGCCTCGGTTTGCCAACTATGTAACCACAGTGGATGTTTAACCAGAGTTGTTCTTAGCTTTGTAAGGAAGCATCTGCTTCTTTTCTACTTTAATTTTGCATTAGCTATGATCTTGAACCCAAGTACAGCCAGCCATCATCACCTTCCTCCTCGCACTCTTTCAAAGCCCCATCAGACAGAAAAAAACCTATAAAAATCCATGTATTTACTGACTCTCCAGAGATGATGACTAGGAAGAAATTGCCTCCTGTTAAATACACTGAAAGAAGCAATTAAAAAGCAGTTCAGCACCATTGTAGACCTTCTTCCAAGTACAATTCCTGCTGCATGAAAAGCCTATGATGAATGGATTGCAGAAATGTCATCATATTATACTACTGTGTAAAAGTAACAGGATCTGTGGAGAGGTTTAAATAATGCTGATATGGCCTTGGAACAAATATAAAGTAGGTAACACATTTCATCTCTATTTTTCATGATTCTATGGATTTTTTACAAGTTTAAAATGTGAGAATAACCATTCTGGACCAAGCCAAATACCTATGAGCTATAGTTATAACTAGTAAACTAAGTGAGGACTGTTCATTTTTACTCACATGGCTAACCCTTCTAACACCCTGCTTTTCAAAAGCAGTGGCCATGTCCAAATTTTCCAACATCAAGAGTGGTCCCTGATCTGTGCTAATCCGTGCATAGTGTAAACATATCTCTGGTATAGCAAATGCTCAGGAAGATAAAATAAAAAGACAGGAAATTCTAATGGTATTTCACCGAGGGTCTGGCAAACTGTGGTTTAGTGATTTAAGGAACAAGAGGGATTTGGTATCTGCTTCATGTTTATAAGCTCTAAACAGACCTGCAGCCACTGATAATAGTATAATTAAATGCTGAGTCTTTTAATTATAAAAAAAAGTTTGTGGTTAAAGACTCAGCATTTCCTGTTTACTGAAACACATTGTCTGGGTGTCACTTTTGCCACTCTTCCTTCTAGAACCTCTAGCCATATCTGTGTCTGGTGTGATCCGTGTGTTTTCCTTGTCAGAACTGTTGTCCAGACTGTCATCGTAATCTGTCAAAATTACTAGGCTATACTTGTTCAGGAATCCCAGTTCAACTACACCATTCAATTCTATTCAATGAACTCCCGCAAACACATTTTGTCCCAAACTATTGTCGCTGTTACAACACTCGATTTCTCTTTGAGTTCCTCTTCTAAGTCCAGGCTTTTCCTTCCCTGTGACATAGTAGGCACATGGGACAATTAAGGGAACACGTGGGAGTTGTTTGCAAACAGGTAAAAGACAAATACAGAAAGAGGAATGGAATCAGTGACTCTAGAGATCCACTGCCACCTTATACATAAATAAAGCCCAGTACAGTGTAAGGCAACACACAGACTCTTCATACTAGTATGATGATGTAAAAGATATTAAACAGGAATAACATATTAGAGTAGTGTTTTTAAAGTCCTCCTTCTGTCTTAGATGTAGGCACCTATACAAAAGTTAGATTCATGTACTTGAATTCTACTTTTGCATACACACAGCTGGCTCATTTTCCATTTGAACAGAGAGGTAACAGAGAAAGAAGGTTGCTTTTTTTGTAAGAACTGTGATAGTTATTGTTTTCAACAAGGATGGAGGACATCTGAGCTCCTCAATCTAAAGTTCTTCAGTCTCAGCTACTCTTTTTTCAAGTAGAAGTGCTTGAACCAGCTAGCTATTAACTAAAAACATCTGCAGGAACTCCCTACTTCCTACTAGTTGAGACTGTGAAGACAAGCCCGCAAAATTTATTGGGGACACAGGGAGAACAAGAAGTGAAAATTTGGTCATGAGACATGACTGGGGAATGACAGGCTCTGCTCCCTGCTCCCAGGCTGTTTTATTAAAGAGGCCTTAATAAAATACATGATGTTCCTTGAGGTTCATGAGCCCAGTTACCTGAGGCAACAACCAGTAGATGTCGAATGATGTGCAGCAACCTCTGATTTCTGCTTTGGGGGCTCCTTGAGGGGACAATGAGAGTAGTCATCTGCCCCATCCCAGAGTGCTGGGAGGCTTTGGTTCAGCTGCTGCTGAACAGGGAGGATCAAGCAGCCTTTGAGCTGCTGTTTTCTCTAGGATGTACTACATTATGTGCTTTCAGATCCACATACGGAACCGTTCTTCCTTCCCCGAGGAAGCACCGGGTTGGGAGCCATAAAACTGTGCAAGCCATAGCAAGAAATCCTAATTATCTTGTCCTTTCTTATAATCAGCTCCTGATTCTTACAGAACCATAAACAAAAATGATTAGAGAGATATACCTCTCTCTGCACTGCAACTGTTTGAATTTTAACCTTTCTTTTAATACCTTCTTACGACAAATGTGCAGTTTTTGATTTGCCCTGTTTATTTTTAGGTGAACATCAAATGCTCAAATACTTCCTTCGGTGAGAAGGAACATTATGACTGTCTACAAAGTGACATTACTGACTTTAGCAGATGTGCATGTTTTGTAGTTGGTCCAGAGATGACATTTCTTATATTCAGGAGGACTCACTTCATGTCATGAATTAGTGATGCTATTGTACATTTTACAATATTTTACATAATTAAACGTGACGATGCCATTTGATATGGACAATTAAGCAAAGTGTAATTAACAGTATAGACACTGTGCCATTTTGGAGTTTGCTTT